CATCACAACACCCATGATCACACACAAGTAGATCAACCTCAGCCTATCAACCCGAGTCCAGTTGTGAACTTCTTGTAGATGTTTTTGCTTGATCGACTTCAAGGTGATCTTCCCACCACTCCTTAGCATGTTGCTCCAAAAGCCCCTGTCGTATTTCCATTCAACTACCTCGCTTACATTGTCTTGAGATACCTTGAGGCTAGTGACAACATGATATTCCTGAAGTGAAAACCGGAGATGCGTCCTTGCAAAGACAAACCACTTCTCATGCCTCTTCGAAGTAACAATCTCCTAGCACAAGAAGCTATGCACCAGTTTAGCAGAAACTTTAAGCCGATTTCTCGCAGTTTCCATCACATGTGTGAAAACAGGATCACTCTTCACAACACCATACTCTGAAGACATAGCATCATGTAGAAGGTCGAGAAGCTCCATCCGGCAGCTCTTGTTGATCTTCTTAACTTGAGGTTCCAAACCCTCTCCATACAAACGCTTGGGTAGCTCTAAATCCATACCTACAAAGGAAAAAAAGTTTGATTACGGTTGTATACATCAATTACAAAATTATGGAAATCAATTAAGTTAACAAATTGTAAACAAACCAAGTCAATTGATCACATATAATAAGTAAACAAACGAAACAGAGACGAAATCAAATGAAACAAACCGAAATCAGTAAAAAAAATCTGCAAAAAAGAAACATTTTATACACACGCTCAATTCATGAAGTAAAACAATTCACAAACGTAACTGGTTCATATAATCAGCAAAAGAGAAAGACATGCAAAAAAAGAACATGCAAAGAAGAACATGCAAAGAAGAACCGGATCGATGAACATGCAAAGAAGAAATAGAGAACAAGTGAGGTCGATTGATGTCGCTTTACCTTAGTATTACAGATGTCGTTGGAAGAGACAGTGGAGATTCAGAGAGGAAGATATTCGGAGAGGCAGAGAGAACAAGTCGATTGATGTCGGCGGAGAAAGAGATGCAGAGAGGCGGAGAGGCGGAGAGGCGGAGAGGCGGAGAGGCGGAGAGACGGAGAGACGGAGAGGCGGAGATGCGGAGAGAATAAGACAGCTGCCATCGAGAGGTGGAGAAGATCTCTCTGTCGCCTTTGTTTTCTAGGAGAGTTCCCTTTACTAAATGGGAATTAGGGTTACGGGGAGAGTTCCCTTTTTGTTTCTATTAATTTTTTTTTAATTCCAAAACTAACATTTTATAAATTCAGTTTTAATTAAAATTTCCATTTAATTAAATTAATCTAGGGTTAGTTTTGGGATTATAGAAAAAAATTATACTATAGGGACAAGATTGATGTTGGTTTATACTAAGGGGACATGAAACCTATTTCTTTGTTCTATATTAGCGTAATTCCCAACTTTTTACCCGTTTTACTCTAAACAAATATATTAGTTGGACAATGGAGAATTCGGACATAATTCAAAAGCAGTCGATTTTGTAGGACAGCGTATTTTACTTTAACAATATATCTATACTATACTAAAAGAGGTAAGCGCGTTCGTCAGTGAGGTGTAATATTCAAAGTTCATGACAAACTGATAAGAATCACACATTCCAAACACACAAAAACTATCAGAATTATTTAAAGAAGAAAGAAAATGGGAAAGAAGAGCACTGTATCAATCCTGTGCTTCATACTCATAAGCTTCACTCCCATTTTTGTTTCTTCTCAAACTTGTGACGGAACTGCTGGGACATTCAAACCCAATAGTCCGTATGAGAAGAACCGCCTTCTCATCAACTCTACTCTTGCTTCTAACGTCATGGCTCATGCCGGCTACTTCAACGACTCTATCGGGCAAGGCTCTGACAGAGTCTACGCCATGGGGATGTGCGCTCCAGATGCTGAACTACAAGCTTGCTCATACTGTATCCAGGACGCCTCAGATAGTTTACTAGGTAAATGTTTGAACCAAACAGATGCTTTCGTATGGTCAGGTGACGAGTTACTTTGCTTTGTTCGCTACTCTAGTAAGTTCCTCTTTGGGGTCCTCACCTTGGAGCCGAAAGCAGTGTTTAATAACCCAATGAGCATAAAAAATGAAAATCAAAAGGAGTTTGATAGTGTGTGGGACGGGTTAAAGGTTCGTATGATAACAGGACTTTCTTCCTCAGTGAGAAACAATTTGTCGTCTTCTTCTTCTTCTTTATCATTGTACGGTAAGAACTATGCAAAGGATGTAACTCCAGTGCCGGTTTACGGGAACATACTGGTGTTGATGCAATGCACTCCAGATCTTTCTTCAAAGGATTGTAGTCTTTGTATAGAGACAAACGTTGATTACTATAAGAAATGGTTCCGTAGGAAGAGAGGTGTCATTATGCTGCGGCCAAGTTGCTTTTTCCGGTGGGAGTTGTATAATTTCTCTGGTGCTTTTGATCATATTAATGATCCAATTCCGCTTTTAAATAGTCCTCCTGTAGCTAATCTGACCGATATAACCAAGAAAGGCAAGTCACTTTAGAAACAATGCCAGAACAATTCTTGTTTTTTTTTGCCTGTTATGTTTTTTTGTGTGTGAATTGGTGGTTTTGTGCAGATAAAAAGGTCTCAGGAGGTATTATCGCAGCCATAGTGGTAGTTATTGTTTTGGCCACAGTATTGATATTTGTAGGCTTAGTTATGTTCAAGAGGAGAAAGGAAAAGAAACATATACAACTTCCAAGTGAGTTGCCTTGATTGGTACTGTAACATTAAGAATGTTATGGTTTAGGAACTTCTTTTGACGAGCTCAAAATGTTGGTCTTTAATGAAGCGGAATCTGTTCAATTTGATTTCAAGAAAATTGAAGCTGCGACAAGCAATTTTTCTGAGACAAACAAGCTAGGTGAAGGTGGATTTGGTGTGGTTTACAAGGTATATATTACTCTATGTGCCCAATAATAGCATGTTTAATGGAAGGTTCTTAGGATGAAGTTCTAGCGGAATATAAAAAACTATCTCTGAACTCTTAACTAAAGAAACTAAGAACCGGCTATTACATAAATATTTAAGAGCTGGTTCTTAGTTTTTGTTAGTTAAAAATTAATAAACGATTTTTTAAATTCCGCTAAGATTCCCACCTTAAGCACTAGGGGTGGGCACAAGCCGAGTACTTAGTGTTTTCGATATACTTAGTACTCGGCTTTGCTTGTACGAGTATTTAAATTTTGGACTTGTACTTAGTTTGTTAAAAACGAGTACTTGCAGTTTCAAGTACTTGCGAAAAATTGATGGACTTATAAGTTACTTGCCTTGTTCTATTACTTGTTATTTGTAAAAATTTTACAAATTACTTAATAACTATTGGTAAATTATTTGATAATTAATTAAAATTTAAAGGTAAATAAATTTATTATATATAAAATAATATGTCATTGTGTTCATTTTGTCATTATTTTCTGATTTTTAATCATTCGTGAAATATATTATATTAAGAAAGAAAAGAATTCCAAAATGTTTATATAAATATATCACTTATGTTTGATTCATTTATAAAAATTGAAAAGGAGTTGTTGTACTATGATTTAGGAAAATATATCTTTGTTCATTAACCAAAACGAATAATAAACTAAACAACGCTGAATAATTATTTTTATTTTATTATTTTGTATTTGTTTGTATTTGAAGGCAGTTTAAATAGACTAATTGATACACGTCTTAGTCAAAATAAGTATTCGACTTTAAGGATCGTGTACCAACCAAGTAGTGAACATGTGGCAAGTAACAAGTAATTGTGACCATTCATAAAATAAATAAATTTTAATTAATTAATAAAATATATACTAAGTATTTAATAAACCAAATAACATATGACAAGTAACAAGTAAATGATAACAAATAATAAACCAAGTAGTTAAAAATTAAAATGAACTTGATACTTGACTTGTACTTGTGAATAATAAAATCCGTTTACTAGTTACTCAGACTTGATTAGAGCTAGTACTTGTTTTTTCAAACCAAACCGCGTCGAGTAGCGAGTACAAAGCCGAATATCAAGCATTTGTGTTCAGCCTATTAATAACATCCCATTAAACATGCTCTTAGGTTGCTTCTTTGTAATAATTATGAAGGGATGTGGTGTGTAATGTAAAAAATTTATATAAAAAAAAAAATACTATGAAGGGCATCCTAAAGAATGGAACTGAAGTTGCGGTAAAGAAACTGTCGAAAATAGCAAGACAAGGTGAAAGAGAGTTCAAGAACGAGGTTGTTGTTGTTGCAAAGCTTCAGCATATAAATCTTGTTAGACTTCTAGGGTTTTCAATTCAAGGAGAAGAAAAGTTACTAGTCTATGAGTTTGTTCCTAACAAAAGCCTTGATTACTTCCTCTTCGGTCAGTTGTTTATAACTTTGAAACTCATGATATATAGTTTTTGTTTGTTGTTTTTTCTTTATTTACATAGCCAATTGTGGTTATGCATGAATATTCAGACGCTAGTAAGAGAAATCAGTTGGAATGGACAGCGCGACACAACATCATCGGCGGGATCAGTCGTGGGATTTTATATCTTCATCAAGATTCACGGCTCAAGATCATACACCGCGATCTCAAAGCTGGTAATATACTATTAGATGCAGATATGAATCCAAAAATTGCTGATTTCGGGACAGCAAGGATCTTTGGATTGAACCAAACTGTAGACAATACATCCAAAATAGTGGGAACCTTGTGAGTATCAACTTTATTTTGACCTGATCAATTGCGATAAACAAATGCTTTTGCAGCTAACTACCGTGTATTTTGCAGAGGTTACATGTCACCTGAGTATGTGATACATGGCCAATTCTCGATGAAATCAGATGTATATAGCTTTGGATTAATGATTCTTGAGATCATTAGTGGCAAAAAAAATAGCAGCTTCTACCAGAGGGATGGTTTAGTTAACAACTTGGTCACACATGTGAGCAACTAGAATCTAACATAATCTCAAACTTTAATTTAATTTTGATATAATGATCAGAGTTCTGAATATATATTATGTAACTTCAACAGGTTTGGAGACTTTGGGAGAACAAATCATTGCCTGATCTCATTGATCCTGGTATCAAGGAAGACTGTAACATCGATGAAGTTGTTAGATACATTCATATTGGACTGTTATGCGTTCAAGAAAATCCTGCAGATCGTCCAACAATGTCAACGATTCACCAAATGCTCACAACCAGCACTATTTCTCTGCCTGTACCTCTGCCACCTGGATTTTTATTCGGGAACAGATCAAGAATGAACTCGTCTTGTACTTGTTCTGTGGATGAAGCAACAATCACTGATGTTAATCCTCGTTGAAGACCTAACATGTTCTGTTTTGTTTACTTTGTTTCCAATTTCCACAAAGGTTTGCCACTTGTTTAATGTCCATATGTAAAAGTTTAAAACGTTCAGTTTCAGTTTGACTGATTTAGCATAAAACTCTTTATTGAAATTTGGAGGAGTAAATTTAGTTTTAAAAGAAACTTAACAAATAACACATAACTTGGGAGACAAGTCTTAAAAACAAGAAGAAAGTAGAGGAGTCTCATATACTCTGTGCCGTCCCCTTGCTTCCAAGTTAGTGTGTGTCAAGCTGGTTTTTACAAGATCTCGTTATTGTTCCTTAGAGGACAAGCAATAATAAGCCCCTAGTGGAGTGAACCTTGATCTCTTTCGCAAAATAAGAATTGCTGGATCATGCAGACTATGTAAATCCTTAATCAGGCTAATTTTGTTGAATTGACGTTACACTTGACATAAATTATTACATTGTCCTCTCAACAAGAAAACAAACAAAGAATAAATGCCACGAGAATAGATCTCATTTCTTAATCTATCACTTTCAAACATTTAGATAATAAATTGTTTATGGGGCTGCGGTCCATTATTATGTACGCTAATAACCATTGAACAACACGTAACACACGTTAACATCTTCTAAAACCTTCCAAATTTCCATTATTATAATGCCATTTTAACTAACGCTCAACTTTGACTTCCCATATGACCGTCTCCAAAAATACTTTAGTTAAATGCAGATGTCATGAAATATTTTGGAGCCTCCAGTTTTGACAAAGCCAACATATACGCTTATTTAACATTTACCACTTAAGCACACGAAAACAAAAAACTAAAAAAAATTGAAAAATGGGTCGAATTAGGCTCTTTCCAATTCTCTTTTCCATCCTTGTGACCTTCGGTTTCATCTCTGTGTCCGGACAGATTTGCGTGGACACTGCGGGAACTTTCAGACCAAACACTACGTATGACTCAAACCGTCGACTCATCCTGTCGTCTCTTGCCTCTAATGTCACAGCTCGAGACGGTTTCTTTTACAACTCCTCGTTCGGACAAGAACCAAACCGAGTCTACGCGATGGCTTTGTGCATCCCTGGATCTCAATCAAAAGACTGCTCAGATTGCGTAACTGAAGCGGTTACAGAAATAATACAAAACTGTCCTAACCAAACAGAGGCTTTCTCATGGCCAGGCACCGAAACTCTCTGTATGGTCCGGTATGCGAACAGATCCTTCTACGGATCGATGGACCTTGAGCCGAACACATTAAGATACAACACTGGGAACATCACCATTAACATGTCGGAGTTCGATAGAATTTGGGATGCGTTTATGATTCGGATGATAGATACGGCTTCAGCGGGACGTAGTGGAGCTTCTTCGTCTTCTAGTGGTAAGTATTATGCGGCGGATATCACGCCGTTGACGACGTTTCAGCGAGTTTACGCGTTGATGGAGTGTACTCCGGATTTATCTCCGGGGAATTGTGATGCTTGTCTCCGAGCAAATGTTAGGAGGTATCAAGAGTGTTGCCGTGGGAATCAAGGTGGTGTTGCTAGGCGGCCGAGCTGTTTTTTCCGATGGGATCTTTATCCCTTCTTAGGCGCTTTTGATAATATTTCCACCAGGGCACCTCCGCCGCAGCCTTTAACCGGTGACGGAGACGGTGCGGCAAAGAGAGGTATGTCCTTTTAACGTTATACAGGTCAGAAAACTTTAAAAAGAATATAGAAAGACAACAAGTCCAAGAAAAGACTTACGACATTAGATGATAATAGTAAAAGAGATGAACAGAAAATGGAAGATTCTTCTCAAGCTTTCATGGCGTAACAAACATGAGAGAGAAAGAGAAGAAGCCAAAAATGGGAATGAATTTCTGTTAACATTAATGTGTGACGAAATGGTCACTATATACACTTGGTCCTAATCAGCTAACCGGGACAAACCGGATGTAATATATACATTGAACCAAACCGAAATAAACTTATAAACCAATATTCCCCCTCAAGATGGAGCATATAAGTTGATAAACTCCATCTTGCTTAATAAGTGTCGAAAGGGACCAGGGTAGAGAGGTTTAGTTAATAAGTCAGCAAGTTGGTTCTCTGATCGGACATGAAGCGTTTTAATCATTCCTGACTTAACCCGTTCACGAACCACATGGCAATCACGTNCGAAATAAACTTATAAACCAATATTCCCCCTCAAGATGGAGCATATAAGTTGATAAACTCCATCTTGCTTAATAAGTGTCGAAAGGGACCAGGGTAGAGAGGTTTAGTTAATAAGTCAGCAAGTTGGTTCTCTGATCGGACATGAAGCGTTTTAATCATTCCTGACTTAACCCGTTCACGAACCACATGGCAATCACGTTCAACGTGTTTGGTTCGTTCATGAAAAACAGCGTTATTGGCAATGTGAATAGCTGCAGTATTGTCACAAAACAAAGGAGCTGGACCAGGATTGTCGACCCATAAGTCTTGTAGAAGATTCCTGAACCAAATCATCTCTTTCACAGCCTCTGCCATAGCCCTATACTCGGATTCTGCAGAAGAACAGGAAACAGTATCTTGTTTATTTGACTTCCAAGCAACAAGAGCAGGACCAACAAACATACAAAGGCCTGAGACACTACGACGAGTATCAGGACATGTCCCCCAGTCCGCATCCGCAAAGGCTGAAAGCTTCATATCAGAATTAGAAGAATAGAAGAGACCTTGTCCAATGGTTCCTTTCAAGTAATGTAAAACCTTATAAGCTGCATGAAGATGTGGAGCACGAGGAGAAGCAGTGAACTGACATAGCTTATAATGTCAGGCCGAGTGAAAGTCAAGTAAAGGAGTTTCCCAACAAGACGACGATATGGAACTGCATTCTCCAAAAGATCACCATCTTCTGTAGATAACTTAACGCTAGGGTCCATAGGTATTGAAACAGGCTTGCAGCCAATTAAACCAGTCTCCACAAGAAGATCAAGTATGTACTTGCGTTGACACAAAGTAATACCAGCAGAAGAGCGAGCTATTTCCAGACCCAAAAAATAACGTAGTTGCCCCAAATCTCTGAGCTTGAAGGATGCTTGCAAAGCAGTCTTAAGAAGATTTGTAGCATGATCACAACTGCTTGCTATAATAATATCGTCAACATAAACTAGCACGGCCATATAGACATTACCAGAGTGTTTGGTGAAGAGCGTATGATCACCAGAAGAAGTAGTAAAGCCTAACTGAAGCAGAGATTCTGAAAATTTCAAAAACCACTGGCGCGAAGCTTGTTTTAAACCGTAAAGTGACTTCTTCAGTTTGCACACAGGATTAGGTGGAAAAGATTCCCCCTGTCTTGGTGAGTATCCAGGTGGTAAGGACATATATATTTCTTCCTCTAAATCTCCGTTAAGAAAAGCGTTGGATATGTCAAGTTGAGACAAAGACCAACCTTTAGCAGCTGCAACAGCAAGAAGAAGTTTTACAGTAGCCGCTTTTGCCACAGGAGAGAAAGTCTCCACATAGTCCAAACCTTCTTGTTGAGTGTATCCCTTAGCCACAAGACGAGCTTTGTAGCGTTCAAGAGTTCCATCGGCATTAAATTTGATTTTAAACACCCACTTACAACCCACCGCTTGCTTTCCTTCTGGCAGTGAACAGACGAACCAAGTATCATTTTCTTCAAGAGCTTTGATCTCAATTCCCATAGCATCACACCACTCTTTGAACTTAACAGCTTGTGAATAAGAAGAGGGTTCAGGAATGCTATTAAGAGCATTAATAAAGATCATGTATGGATCTGACAAAGCAGCGTAGGACAGTACATTTGAGAGAGGATGTTCAGTAGAAGATACTGCAGAAGAACAAAGATAGTCCTGGAGATGGCTTGGTGGTCGTGAGACCCGTTTAGGAGGAAGAGAAAACCCAGCAGAAGTGTCTGTGGAGGTTGCAACATCAGGAGAACTAGAAGAAGGACCAGAGGTCATAGTGGGAGAGGGAACAAATAACCGAGGAAAGAAATTCTCATATGCAGGAGAAGTAGTGTCTTGAAGGTATGGGAACAATTCTTCGTGGAAGACCACGTTCCTGGAGATAAAAACAGAGTTGCTCTGAAGATCAAGGAGCTTATAACCCTTATAACCGGAGGGATAACCAAGGAAGATACAAGCCCGAGCTCTCTCTTGAAACTTATGACGTTGTTTTGGAGATGTACTTGCATAACAGAGGCAACCAAATGTCTTTAAAAGGGTGTACTCAGGAGGCTTACCAGTGAGGAGCTCATAAGGTGTTTTATTAGAGATCACAGGAGAGGGAGTACGGTTTATCAGAAACACTGAAGTAAGGATGCAATCACCCCAAAGGCTTAATGGAACTCCGGACTGGAACATCAATGCACGAGCAACGTTGAGGATGTGTTGGTGTTTCCTCTCAACAACAGAATTCTGTTCTGGTGTCTCAGGACATGAGTGATAAGAGACAATACCCTTGGCTTTATAAAAGGCATC